CCTCCAATCTCTGCCTTCCTGATGCTGTTCCTGCTCCTCACGGTGAGCTTGGCCATCTCCCCAGCTCACTGTGATGCTTGCGCCCGCACTCTGGCACGTGTGCTGCCCAGCAGAGGTAGGACGCCCCGTCTCTGTCGGGCTGCTCCTGCGTCCCTGGGGGAAGGAAGCCTCTCCTTTAGCACTGCTAGCCCTCGGGGCTCAGTACTGGGGTCAGCCCAGGGCCTCCGCACTGAGCCGGGGCCTCACCCTTCTTTCTCGTTTTTTTCTGAGTGTTTGTGTGTTGAGACAAGGGTTCGCTCTGCAGTCCAGGCTGGCCTCAAGCTCAGCAGTTCCCCTGCCTCAGCCTCCTGAGTGCAGGGACTCTAGGCGTGCCCCACCACACCAGGCCTGGGCGGACGCCTGTGATGCCACAGTTATTTGGAGACAGAGTCTTGTCGAGTGGCTGGGGCTGGACTTGGCCTCCCTCCCACGGTGCAGGGCTCACAGACATCACCGCCTGGCCTGTGAGAAGGCCCTTCCTCATGGCTGAGCCGTGCAGCACTGGCTTTCTTTTGGTTAATCTTTATGTTTCTGTTCTGGATCCTCACTACCTAAGGCTTGTTTCTCGGCAATAGTACATAACTGAGTCCTGTTTTTAAAGTTAGAATTCCGGTGTAGGCATTCACATGTGAATGCAGTTGCTCATCTGTGCAAGGCTCGTGGTCCCTTTCTCTCCCTTAGTGGTGGTCAGTGGTTGGGGGAGACTCAGTATCCCTTAAATATTTCCTCTACCCTGTTCTTTCTCTTCTTGGGGCTCTCCTGATGTGCACAGGAGATCTCTTTGCCCTGTTTCAGGTGATTCTCACACTTTTCCATAATCTCCATTTTTATAAATTTTTGACCCCCCCCCCAGGACTCTCCCACGGAGCACACCCCAATTCCTTTTTGAGAGTTGTGACACAGGTCTGCTGTGTTCCGTGCTGGCCTCACACCGGTGATGCTCCTCCTCAGCCCCCGGAGCAGCTGGGCAGACAGCCCGGTGCCCTGCACCTTCAAGTGCTTTTCCTACTTCTAGCTGGTCTGTTTTCCCATTTCAGTCCGCTCACTCTGTCTGACTAGTGTGCTTCCCCTGCCGCTCCCCAGTACTGGGATGGAACCCAGGGCCTTTACACTCGGCTTCTTATTTTGTTTTTTTAAAATTTATTTTACTGCTTTGTTTGTTTGGAGACAGGAGCTTGCCATGTAACTGGGACAGGGTCGGGCCTTGTAGCCCAGGCTGGACTTGAACTCATGTCAGTCCTCCTGCCTCAGCCTCCTGGTGCTGGGATCACAGGTGCATCATCACACCCAACCCCCTTAAAATTTGGAGACAGTCTTGCTAAATTGCCCAGGTGGGACTCTGCCTTCTGCTGAGATATAGACTTCTGCCAGCGCAGGAGGCTTTTCTGGTTGACTTTGGTTAGTTTCTTTTTTTGGTCTTTTTTCTTTTTATCGGTACTGGGGATCGAACTCACGACTGCCTGCTTGCAAGGCAGGCGCTTATGCCACTGAGCTAAATCCCCAGCCCGACTTTGGTTAATTTCTCAGGTCTGGAATTGCGTGTTGGTCATTTTTGGTGTTTCATGTTTTTCATTTTGAGGTGGGGTCTGCTGGGGCCCGAGTGAGCACCTTGTCTTTCTCTGCACTCAGTGCAGGGTCAGTTTATACCGTCCATGCCAAGACATTTAGAAGTGTGAAATTATTAACTATTAAAATAATACCTGGGCCTGGTGGTGCATGCCTATAATCCTAGCACTTGGGAGGCTGAGGCAGGAGAGTACTGGTTTGAGGCCAGTCTGGGATACACAGTAAGATCCTGCCTTAAAAAATCTAGAAAACAGATTACCACCATTTAGAAACATGGATAAACTTCGTCTTGGCCTCTTAGGGCACCCAGGGCAGGACCCACCTGGACAGCCCCTGTTGCGGGGCCAGCTTGCAGCAGTGCTGTTTGGCATTTTGGTTCCACTCTTGTGGTGTGGGGGGACCCAGGGTCACGCATGGACAGGGCAGCTGCTCTGCCCTGGGCCGCGCTCTGGGCCCTTCGTGTCTCCCCCAGGACTCCCCGTGACCAGTTTCTTCACAGTCTCTTAGGGCAGCTTCCTGCCTGGAATCTTGGCCTCTGAGTTGCCAGCAGCTGACTGTTTTGTAATTCGCTGTCTGAGCTCCTGTTTTGTTCCCGCCCACCGCAGCCAGGACAGGACTCAGCTGGGGGCCAAGGTGGGGCGAGGAGGGCTTCCCTCAGTGGCCTCCTGTCCGATAGGCCGAGCATCTGGCTGCCAGCTTGTTCCCGGGTGCTGTCAGCAGCTGACTGGTAATTCACTCAATCTGATGTAAAACTGTTGGTCTGTTTTTGTTTTTGTTTTTGGGCAGGATCTTGCTGTGCAGTGCAAGTTGGCCTTGTGCTCTCAGCGATCCTCTTGCCTCCGCCTCCCAAGTGCTGAAATACAGCTGTGTGCGCCATCACTGCAGCCTCTTGGTTTGGTTTTTGTTTTTAGTTTTGGTAAAACTGTCAGTACTGGCAGTGGATGTGGGCACCCAGTTGTTTTTTGATCTTTTGGCGGTGCTGAGATGGAGCCCAGGGCCTTGTTACGTGTCAGGCAAGTGCTGTGTCCCTGAGCCGCACTCTAAGACCCGCCAGCTTGGTTTTCTGGTGAACTCCTCCGTGACGTGTCTTGGAGACCGACCCCCACAAAATCACAGTGCCTCTTCTTTAAGGACAAGATGCTGCTCGATCTGTTATCTGCTTTCTGTGCAGAACGCATGCGCATGCATGTCTATCTGTAGGTTACACACAGGCTGCGTCTTGAGTGCCCATCTGTCATTTTGAGGGCTGTCACCTCACTTTCCCCCACGGTGCACTGTCACCATAGTGCCTAGAATGTCTGTGGCCAGCTTAGCCTGCAGAAGCCACAGCCAGACCAGAGGGAAATCCCCAGGGCTCCCCTCCTCCTTGGTCTGTGACAGACACCCGGTCACGTCTGTGGTCTCTCCCAGGACACGTTTGACATCCGGATCCTGATGGCCAAGTCTGTCAAGTATACAGTGAACTTCTTAGAAGCCAAAGAAGGAGATTTGCACAGGTAGTGCCCACGCCCATCTCTCGCCTCCTCCTGCGGCCACTGCGTGCCCTCCTGCTGCGGCCGCCTGGCTTCCCAGCAACCCCTATCTTGCCTTCCAGGATAGAAATCCCATTCAAGTTCCACATGCTGCACTCGGGGCTGGTCCATGGCCTGGCCTTCTGGTTCGACGTCGCTTTCATCGGCTCCATGTGAGTATGGTTGTCAGGGCCTGCCACCCGGCCAGCCCACCTGGGGATCCTGTGACCCGGGGCCGAGCAGGCGCTCCTGGGCTTCCTGCTGCCTCGCAGGAGCAAGTCCAGAGCAGGTCAGGGAGCGGAGCGGGGACAGGGCACTTCCTGTCTCTTGTACCTGTCCCTCACGGGCCCTTGGCACCTGACCGTCAGTGTGGATGCCCTGCAGCTGCCGGTCCCCAGGCACACGTGGGCCCAGGTCTCCCTGTGGGGCCAGCACTTGGAGAGAGGTCAGGGGGACAAGTTAGTGGCCCAAGTACTGACCCCAGCCTAGTCAAATGCGTGCCTGTCCGTGCCTGGCAGAATGACCGTGTGGCTGTCCACGGCCCCGACGGAGCCCCTGACCCACTGGTACCAGGTCCGGTGTCTCTTCCAGTCACCCCTCTTCGCCAAGGCCGGGGACACGCTCTCAGGGACATGTCTGCTCATTGCCAACAAGAGGTGAGCCCCGCCGGCGGGCCGGGGGGTTGGGCCTGGGCTGGCCCTCACCGCCTTGCCCCCCCACAGACAGAGCTACGACATCAGTATTGTGGCCCAGGTGGACCAGACGGGCTCCAAGTCCAGCAACCTGCTGGACCTGAAGAACCCCTTCTTCAGGTAGGCGCCACACCAGAGGGGTGCGTGGGCTGTGCCGGCCGCCTCGCGCCCATACTCATCTGCCACAGGTACACGGGCACCACGCCGTCACCTCCGCCTGGCTCGCACTACACGTCGCCGTCGGAGAACATGTGGAACACGGGCAGCACCTACAACCTCAGCAGCGGCATGGCCGTGGCCGGTGAGTGGGGCCGCCCGCGCTGGGGGGAGGGGGCCGCAGCCCCCACCCGCACTCTAACCCTCACCCCTGTGCCCGCAGGGATGCCGGCCGCCTACGACCTGAGCAGCGTCATCGCCGGCGGCTCCAGCGTGGGCCACAACAACCTGATCCCGCTGGGTGAGTCTCTGGCCGCCGCGCTGGCGGGCATGGCTTCCTCTCCCTCCGCTCTCTGCCTCCCCGGGGCTCGGGCCTGACACTGTCCCCTCCTCTTCCTTCCGCCCTGTCGCTGCCAGCCAACACGGGGATTGTCAATCACACGCACTCCCGGATGGGCTCCATAATGAGCACGGGCATTGTCCAAGGTAACGGGCGGCCGGCGGGGCTCATGCTGCGGGCCGGCAGCGGAAGCGCAGCAGCAGGGGTGGCGCTCAAGTGTCCCCGTGGTCCTGTCCTGTCCTGTCCACAGGCTCCTCGGGCGCCCAGGGCGGCGGCAGTGGCGGCTCCAGCGCTCACTATGCGGCCAACAGCCAGTTCACCATGGGTGGCCCGGCCATATCCATGGCGTCGCCCATGTCGCTGCCGACCAACACCATGCACTACGGGAGCTAGGCGCCCCGCTGCCCGCCCGCGGACAGATGCATGGACGCACGGACGGACGGCAGTACCCGGGAACCAACCAACACAGCCGCGCCCCCGGAGCTCGGACACTTTTCTACAGGACGGCGCCGCTGCACCCTCCCTCCTGGCCCGGGCCACCTCCTAGGGCTCCCGGGCCACCCTGCCCCCTGCAGCTGGGGAGGGGGAGGGCAGGGAGGGAGCGGCGCCCACCCCCACCACCCACAGGGCGCAGGCGCAGCCGGCCGCGCAGGACCTCTCAACTACCAGGCCACCATGGTCACCAAGGGCGTGACATGCTGCTTTTTTTAATTTTATTTTTTTACGAAAAGAACCAGTGTCAAGCCACAGACCCTCTGAGAAACCCGGCCGGCCGGGCGCAGCCAGCAGCCCCTCTCGGCCCGGGCCCGGCGCCCCGGGGTCACCTCACACTTGAATGTACACCTCCGTCCCGTCCCATCCCGTCCTGTGCCCTCGCTGCTGTCCTGCCCACTCCGACCCTCGTCGGAGCCTGGCTCCCAGAGACCACCCCTCCCCTAAAGGAAGAAAATAGAGGGACTCGGACAGTGTGTCCCAGAACAGGCGGTGTCTGTGCCCAGCACCCCATCTCCAAATCTGCGAAGCGGGGCTCAGGCCGGGCCAGGCCACTCGTGTGCCCTAGGCAGGGTGGGCCCCTCAGATGCCCCGCCCCTCCGCGGGGTCCCTGGCTGTGTCCCCCAAGCTGCCCTGGAAGCTCCCTGCTCGGCTGCCCTCCCTGCCTTTATATAAATTCTCTGGATCACCTTTGCATAGAAAATAAAAGTGTTTGCTTTGTAAGAAAAGTCTGCCCGGGTCGGTGGTGCCTTTGGTCCTCGTGTCTGCAGCAGAGCGCAAGCTCCCCGGGCGGCCAGGCCTCCTAGGAGGTGACCGCAGACCGGGCCAGGGCAGGAGACGGCGGTGTGCGCGGGCTCTCCGGCGTCACTTGGGCGGGAGGCACCGCCTGCTGCAGTGGCAGTGGCTGGAAGAAGTAGAGCTGGACAGAGACAGCGGCGTCAGTGGCGCTGCCGGCCAGCCGGCCCAGCCCAGCCCGGCCCGGACCCCGACCCGCCTGTACCTTACAGCCCAGGGCCAGCAGCGCGTGCAGCAGCACCACCGTGGACAGCAGGGCCGCGGCCACCAGCCGGGTATCCTCTCGGACCACGGGCCACAGCGTGAGCACCAGCCCAGCTGTGGACAGGGCCAGGGCCAGCGCCCCAAAGAGCCACTGCAGCCACGGCACGGGGATAAGCCACAGGACCTGGGGTGACAGGCAGTGGGTGACCGTGCACGCCTCCCCCAGCTCCCGCCACCACCTGTGCCCGGCCCCACTCACCACCATGGGGATGAAGACGAAGAGCGAGTAGCCGTACACGCACACGGTCTCCAGCAGGCTGTAGGGACCCACGCGCTCCCGCACACCCTGGCGCCACCGCAGGAAGCCCCACAGCGCCAGCGGCACGAGCCACGCGTAGCAGTAGATGGTGATCCCTGCCACGGTCACTGGGGGACAAGGAGGCAGTCACCTCTGTGCCTGGAGACGCGGCTGCCGCCGGGTGAGCCTGCCCCCTTACCCTTGTGGAACTGGGGGCTGTAGTGGATGGAGGGGTCCCTCCTCTGGGCCAGCACCAGGGTCAGGTTGCCGGTGACAGCCAGGACGAAGGCCAAGGTGGCACAAATCCAGAAGGGACCTGACAGGAGAGGCCCAGGCCAGGGTCCCGGGTGAGGCACGCTCCCTGCCGCCCACGCCACCCTCTCCGGTCACTGCTCTCCAGCCCTCTGATAGCAGCCAGCCATGCCGCTGAGGGGACCTCGTGCTCTCCGCTTGCGTCCCATCCCATTGGCAGCAAGTGCTCACCTCCCGTGTCCAGGACAGTGCTCCCCACCCCCCCATCTGGGCGGCAGCTGGCCGTCACCGGCCACTATCCATCTCTGTCCCCCAAAAGGGAGTGCAGGTGTCAGTGTCAAGAGTGAGCAGCGTGTGCTCAGCTGGGCAGCAGGGCCTGGCGCTCAGCCCGAATTTGCTGCATGAGTCACCGAATGAACCCGGAGCGGAGCGCTGCCGCCTCACTCACCGTACAGATCGGGCCGATTCTGCAGATGGCGCCGCACGAAGTTGTGGCCAGGCCAGGGCAGTAGTGAGCCTTTGATCCGGTCCAGGACCTGTGGCCGAGCCCAGTGCCAGGCTTCCGCCCGTGGACTGCCCGGAAGAGCCCCGCCTCCCTCCTTGGCTCGCGGGCGGCTCCTGGGGCACCAAGCCCACTCCCAGCCCGAGTCTGTCCTGTCCTCTGTGCCCGGCTTCACGGGCACCCAGCTGGCCCGGGGCTCGAGCAGGTCTCTTCCGTGTGTGCTCGTCCCACCTGGAACCTTCCACGGCTCCCCACCACCTCCCAGAAAGCCCAGACCCCTGCTGACTGTGACACAGCTCACAGCGGGGCACACTGGGGGCACCTGGCGCCCAGCCACTAGGAGGCTGAGACAGACTCCTGAGCTCGGGTTTGAGGCCAGCGCAGGCGACCTGGCAGGACTGCATCCCAAGACAAGCAGCCTGCCGCCAGGGGCCCCAGGCTGTGCCCGCAGCTTCCGCACCTGCTCCCGGTCCCTCCTCCGGCTCGGTGATCGCGCCCCGACCTGCTCGGCCGTGCATCCGCGGGGTCCCCACCCTCGCAGGCCGCCAACCCGGGCGGGGCTGCAGCTCACCTGGGAGGTGTCCACATCGAAGAACCGCTGGTAGTAGCTGAAGGTCCAGAACCCGGGCGGCGGCCTCTCCGGCTGCAGCAGCTGCGGACAGCACCGGTCTCAGCGCCGCCCTCAGCCTGGCTGGGGGCCGCGGGACGCGGAGACTCACCGCGGCCTTGTCACCCTGCTCCTCGTCCTCCTCCTCCGCTCCGAAGCCGCCACCGGGGCCCACGGCCACCGCCACGTGGCCAGGGGAGCTCGGCGGAGCGCTCCTGCTGCTGGTGGCAGCGTCTGGGGTCTCAGCGAGGAGGCTGGTGGCTTCCTCGAACTCTGTGCGGGAAGACGGGACCCGCGTGTCCTGGGGTCAGGGCGAGGCTGACCGTCCTCGGCTCACCCCCGCTGTCCCCGCCGCCCACAGGACCCCGCTGCGGGGGCCTCGCTCCGCGGCGCTCTTCCTAACCGGACGCTGGAGGCTGAGGACTGCGGGGTGAGTCGGGGCACAAGCGGGTTCAGGCCTGGGTCGCCAGTCCCGGCTGGGCTCTGGCTACCCGGGAGCGGGGCGGGCTGGCGCGGCCGCCTGTCGTCTGGCACTCGGGAGGCTGAGGCAGGAGGCTCGCCTGGCGCTCGAGGCAGGGCTGGGCTACCCCGAGAGATCGACCCTCAAAAACCAAAGCGGGTCTGCGGCCGCGGCGCGCGGCACTCACCGTGGAAGGCCAGCTCGTCAGCCGCGGCCATGCTGGTTCAGGGCAGTCGCCGCATCCCGTGCTGAGGACAGAGGCCAGTCAGGCCCACGCCCCTCTGCGACCCTCTCAGCCCGAGTCCTGCCCCGCGGCTAGCAACACCCACGGGGAATACTCAGTTCGCCGCCTCGGCCCCCGGGTGCTCTGCGCCTTCTCACCTGAGGCTACCTTAGCCGGCGTGGCCAGGGCGCTCTGCGCCTGCGCAGCCCGCCTACCCGTTAGCGTCCACTGGACTAAAACCACAGCAACATCCGGCACCGGCCCGTATTCTATTATCTTCCGGTAGGAAACCACTTCCGGCAGCTTTAGGGCTGGCTTAGAAGAGTTATCCCGGGCGTTTTATTTTGGATGACAGCGTTTCTGTCCGGAGAGTGGACCGCAGGCCGGAAGAGGATGGCGGCGGCCGCTCTGAAACGCTTTTGGACCCGAGGTCGCAGAGAAACAGGTGGAGAGGAGAGTAGCGCGGCGGCTGCGAAGCCGGGCGTGTGGGCGCGACTAGGTGAGTGGCGCAGGAAGATGGCAGAGTGGGTGGGCGCAGCTGCATGACGGCTCTCATCGCCCTTCTTCCTTCCCAGGCGCCTGGGCGCGCGCACTGCTCCAGGACTACGCCGAGGCCTGCAGGGACGCGGCGGCGGCGGCGCGGGCCCGGCCAGGACGCGCGGCCTTGTACTCGGGGCTGTTGGGCGGTGTGGTGGCCTGCTGCGCCCTGGCGCCGAGCGAGACGGCCTTCGAGGAGGCGCTGCTTGAAGCGTCAGGGACTCTGCTGCTGCTGGCGCCGGCCACGCGCAATCGAGACTCCGAGTCCTTCCTGCAGCGGCTCCTCTGGCTGCGGGGCCGCGGGTGCCTGCGCCATGTGAACCTGGGGCCCTGTTCGCTCGTGTACGAGGCGCCCTTCGACGCCCAAGCCAGCCTCTACCGTGCCCGCTGCCGCTACCTGCAGCCCCGTTGGGTGGATTTTCCCGGCCGGATCCTGGACGTGGGCTTCGTGGGCCGCTGGTGGGTCCTGGGGGCCCGGATGCGCGACTGCGACATCAACCACGAGGAGTTCCTCCACCTGCCCCCGCATTTGCGCGTCGTGGCTCCTCACCAGCTGCACTCCGAGGTCAACGAGCGGCTCTTCGATGAGAAGTACAAGGCTGTCGTGCTCACCGACGATCAAGTGGACCAGGCGCTGTGGGAGGAGCAGGTATTGCAGAAGGAAAAGAAGGACCAGCTCGCCCTGAGCCAGGCCGAGTCGCTAGTGCAGTCGGAGGTCGCCAGATGAAAACCAGCGAAGCTGCAGACCTGAGTGGCCTCCGAGCCACTGGTAGACCGTGCACCCCAGGAGGTGCAGCTGGCGAGAGTAACCCTGAGACACACTGCGTGCGTGTGGAATGATCCCTCGCTGGGTTGTCCTAAGTTTGAGAAACCTTTCTTTCCCCCTCTGTTCCATGTTAAATCAAATTCACAGCTCCCTTGACATAAGAGTTAGGGAGAGCTGGGGTACTTGACCGTGTCCGGTTACAAATTTGCACGACTGTGCCTGGCTTTCTGGGATCTAGTCTTGTAGGGTTTTTTTGTTTTTGTTTTTGATACTGGGGATTGAACTCATGACCTTGCGCTTGCCAGGCAGGTGCTTATGCCGCTGAGCTAAACCCCCTTGTCTTTTATGGGTGTTTTCTGCCTAGGTTAGGTTTTGGTGCTTATGACCAAATCCAGAGTCTTGTGAATGGGCTGTACCACTTAGCTATAGTCCCCGTACTCCCGAAGTCCTCTTGTTCCTTTTTTATAATGTTTTTGTTTCAGTGTTTTTAAACACTATTTTGTAATAATTTTAGTCTCACATGAAACTGGTAACATAAGGGGACATCTTTCACCCAGCTTCCCTGTGATGTAACTAATTTAAACCCAGAAACTGACATATGAATATTTGGTTTTGAGAGAGATGGCAAAAAAATAACCTGATTTTACCATATGTGTATTGACTGTTACTGAAGGTAGCTTAGAAGGCTGTAAAGCATGCACTGATCTCAAAATTTATATAGTCTACCCAGGCATGGTGGTGCACTCTTGTAATCCCAGCACTTGGGAGGCTGAGGCAGGAGGATCTCTGCAAGTTTGAGACCATCCTGAGCTACAAAGTGAGCTGAAGGCCAGCCTGAACTGCATATTGAGGTCCAGTCTCAACCAGACCAAGAAGAAAAAAAAATTTATATGGACTCAGAATTTCGTGTAAAAGGATGTTAGGATACTGGTACTTAGCTAGGTTGCAGGTATCATACCAACAAAGCTAAAGTATTTGGGGAATGAGACCATCTCTGTCATCTGGGTAGCCTGTTGCTAAATGGTAAACCCAGGAAAGGAAACAGGAATCTCTGGCGTGATACTTTCATTGGGGGGAGCTGGTTTTGCTTTAGTCATGGTGCTGGGGATGAACCCATCTGGCTTGTCCCTGCTAACCACACTGAGCTACGCCCCTGGCCACTGCCCTATGATGTTTATGTGTATGTATTGGCCGCTTAATTTTTGGCACTTGAAATTTTCATTCCTAATGTGGGTTTACTGAACGCACGGTAGTTTTTAAATCTTTTATTTTGAGGCAGGAGAGGTATGAGTTTGTACGTACAGAGGAAAAACTGAGGTTGAGAAAGTTTATTCTTTCCAAGAGTGTGGGAGATCCATCACTGAAATTCTGCCTGCCAGCCCTGTGACTTAGTCCTTAGAGTAGAGTTGTGGTGCAGGTTGGCCATGGTGGCCCACACCTGTAATCTCAGTAATGGGGAAGCTGAAGCCGGAGGTTTGCCAAGAGTTTGAGGTCAATTTGGGCTACACAGCGAGTCTAAAGCCAGCCTAAACAACACTGGGCACCTGTCTCAAAGAAAGAAAAAGAAAAATTGTGGTACAGTACTGCATTTGATACTAATACCTTACCCAAAGTGTGCGTGCAGTGGGGCGAAGGGGGCTGTGAATTTAACCCAGGGCCTCCGCGCAGGTGCTACACAGAGCCACATCAGCAGTCCCCTTTGCCAGAATTCATTGAGTACGGCCACCATTTGCCATAAATAGAACTTCAGTGCAGGAAACATTCAATACGTACAAAAAACATGGCAGTGAGAGTAAAAGACCAAGCTAGGCACGCTGGTGTATGCCTGTAGTCCCAGCACCCTGGGCAGCTGATGCAGGAGGATTGCAATTCAAGTCCAGCGTAAGCGACTTAATGAGGTCCTATCTCAGAAAAGAGCTGGGCTCAGCCCCGGTAACACAGAAAGTATTGGGAGAGGGGTGCACGCGTTGATTGCTTACGTCAGTTACTAAATGCCACTCTGACTCCTACCCAAGGGTGTCTCCTGCAGAAACCCAAGTCGACAAAAAGCTGTGGAGGTGAGAGTGGTGCCCCCAAATAGTAACACCCAGCTCACAGCATGGTTTGTGGTGCCTCGTCCGCCTGCAATCTCCATGACATATCTTTGGCCAGCAGCTTGGCTGCTCTTGCCGGAGTCCACTGTGTTTGGCCACCTCTCCAGTAACTCAGACAGCCTGGGTATAAGGCCGCAGGGGAGGTGCTGCTGGGCCGGTGGGGGAGTAGGTGGCCTGGTGCTCAGCACGGGGACCCCCATGTACTTCTGAGCTCCCTGCACCCACAGCTCAGCCTGTGAAAGGTGGAGCCAGGTGTGGTGTACACAGGTAATGCCAGCACTGAGAGGCTGAGGCAAGATGCCCAAAAGTTTGAGACCACCTTAAGGAGACCCTAAAACAGTTTTTAAGGGGCCTTGGTGTGTAGCACTTGCCTAGTGATCATGAGGCCCTGGGGGGGGGCGGGGGCGGGAGGCCTCAGAGCCTCAGAGAACAATAGAGTGTCTCTCAGGACCCAGACGCAGGAATCCCCAGGTCTGCTTTTCTTTTTCCAGTGTTTGTTTGTTTTGAGACAGGATTTTGCTCTGCTGTTCAGGTTGGCCTTGAACTCACTACACGGCCCAGGCTGGCTTCCCGAGCACTGCAATTACAGGCATGTACCACCTCACCTGGCCTTGGTTTGGGGATTTTGTGTGTGTGTGTGTGGGGGGGAGTTGTTGTTTTGGTTTTTTTGGTCTTTTTTTTTTTTGTCTTTTTATCGGTACCAGGGATCGAACTCACAACTGCCTGCTTGCAAGGCAGGCACTTATGCCACAGAGCTAAATCCCCAGTCCCTTTTTTGGTCTTTTTGAGACAGGATCTCTCTATGCAGTGCAGGCTGGCCTTGAGCCACTTTGTAGCCTAGGCTGGTCTTGAACTGGAACTCGCAACGATCGTCCTGCCTCAGCCTCCCGAATGATAGTATATCCCAGGCTGGTCTGGAGCTCCCGGCAGAGCTGCCTCAGCCTCCCAGCTGCTGGGATTACGGTTGTGCAGCACCCTACAGGTTTCCACTGTCCCTTAAACTGTTCTCCGGCAGGGCTGGAGGTGGAACCCGGGGCTGTGTACGTGCCAGGTAGATGCTCCCGCTGAGCTGCGCTCCAGCATCTACGTTTTATTCTAGATGAGACTTTGCGGATCAGACCAAAGGTGGGCTCCCCACCCCCAGTCCTTACTGCACAAATGGCTGTCCTTGCTGCTGCGGACTAGAAAAGCCAGCAGAGGGCGCCAGAGACCCATTTCAGAGAGTGGCCTGTTCCCCGCCCTGTACTAGCGGGAAGCTCCAGGCTGCTGTCCTTCTGGGGACCCGAGGCAGGGAAGCGGTGTGACCTGCCAGCGTACAGGGTGAGTTCAAGGGCAGCCTGGACTGCACAGTGAGGCCCCGCTCAGAAATAACAAATGGAAAGGATGGGCCAAGTGACTGGGCAGGGGAGGACTAAGGGACAGTGTCTCTCACTGTAATAGTTCCTTGTTCCAGCCTCTGGATGGAAGCACCGTCTGGCATCACATCTGGTTTTTTTTTTTTTTTTTTTTTATCGGTACGGGAGATAGAACTCATGACTGCCTGTTTGCAAGGCAGGCGCTTATGCCACTGAGCTAAATCCCCAGCCCCTCACATCTGGTTTTGACTCTTCGTCTGCAGCAGGGACCTGGTTTGTGGCCCTGAGGTGCATCTCGTGGGGGGTGGGTGGGCCCTGGCACCGCCTCATCCCTCAGGGCCCTGCGAGCTGGGGCCGCCCCGCAAGGCGCTCATCGCAGAGCGGGGTCGCACAGGGCCGCCTGCGTGGGTGTCGGGTGCAGTCCAGGCCGGCGGGTCTTGCTTTCCCTGTGCGCAGATGGACCAGATCCAAAATACCAGAGTCCCAAAATACCCCCTGGGGGGGCGCGGCCCAGTGGGGATGGCGCTGGAGCGCCTGCGTCCCTGCCTGCCTGCCTGCCGTGGGGCTCACTTGGGGCTCGCTTTCCCTTCCCCAGCCTTTCGCTCTGCAGCATTACATAGTTGGAGTCACCCAATAAGCTCTTTTTTTGTTTTAGTTTGTTTTTTGAGACAAGATCTTGTTGTGCAGTGCAGGCTGGTCCTGAGCTCACCCTGTAGCCCAGGCTGGCTTCAGTCTAGCGGTGTTCCCCCGCCTCAGCCTCCTGAGTGCCGGAATGACAGGTGTGCTCTAGATACATAGACTCAGATCGGCTCTTTCTCCTCTGGTTCCGAGGGCGGAACACAGGGCCCTTTGCGCTGAGCTCCATCCTTGGCTCGCTAGTGTTTCTGTTGAGACAGGGTTTCAGTAAGTTGCTAAGTTGCCCAGGCCGTGAGCTTCCTGCCTTAGCCTCTTGGACTTTGTGCCACCCATACCAAATAAAGTTGCACTAGTAAAATGACATTGACAGTTCTCCTGTGTCTCCTGGTGGGCTTCTGTGTTCGGTTTTGTGTATTGCCTGCCTGTTCCACAGTTGCGTTGTGTGTTTTTTTTTTTTTTTTTTTTTTTTTTGGTCTTTTTTCTTTTTATCGGTACCGGGGATCGAACTCACAACTGCCTGCTTGCAAGGCAGGCACTTATGCCGCTGAGCTAAATCCCCAGCCCCTGTGTTGTTTTTTGCCCGTCTGTTCCACAGTTTGGCCCTTCCTCTAAAGAGGGCCATCTGGAGCATTTGGGAGGTGACTTTCTGGCAAGCCCGTGGCACGTAGTGAACACCAGAGGGCGTGAGAGCGCGTTTCCCCTGTTACCGGGAGGCCTCAGCCGTCTCTGGAGAGGCTGGGTCTGAGCTTTCCCCCAGGATGGTGATTGAGGAAGGAGCTGGAGGAGCCTAGTGGAAGTGATCAAGGGGCCACTGAAGGGGTGAGGGAGGGGAATGGTGAGCCGCGACAAGCACTTCAGTTGAAGCCAGTGTGACCGGGGGACCTAAGAAACTCCAGAGGCCTTGACGTCAGAAGCAAGTTCTGCCTTGCTGCACACTAGAAACAAAATGATGTATGAGCTTCACTAGCAAGTTCTTTCAGAAATTTTAAACTGAAATAAAAAACGAGCCGTCTGCGGTGGCGCATGCCTGTGATCCAGCATCCCGGAGGATGAGGCAGGATCGCCTGGGCTACGTGAGTTAGGGAGAGCCTGAATTACAAGCCGAGGTCCTATCAGAAAACAACCCTCCGCCCCCCAGAAAAAATAAACGGACCTCCGACCTCTTAGGGGAAGCCAGCACAGCACAGGCACTGCCGGGCTCGCCCCCAGCGCAACAAAAGGACCAGCAAGGCGCGCGCGGAGAGCGCACGCTACGCTGCTTGCGGAGGCCGTGGGCGCCCTCTCGCGCCTGCGCACTGGCTCCGCGGGGCGGGGCCTAATTCTCTCCCGCCCCGGGCCGGAAGTGGGTGGGAGCCGCGGACCGGAAGCCCCGGTGGCCTCGTGACACCGGCGGGACAGCGTGGAGGCTGTGAGCTTCGTTGGTGACAGGAACTTCGGAGCCGGGGGCACCCAGCGACGGCCTGGGTGGGGCAGTGCGACCCCTAGCCGGCCCTGGACTCTGCTGGGTGCCGTGGCGACTGCAGATGTGCGGTTTTTTTTTTTTTTTTTTGGTCTTTTTCATTTTTATCGGTACCAGGGATCGAACTCATGACTGCCTGCTTGCAAGGCAGGCGCTTATGCCGCTGAGCTAAATCCCCAGCCCCTAATGTGCGGTTTTTTTGAGGACTTGCTGTAATATTCTCCAGAGAGGCCGCACCTTTTTTCCTTTTCCAATACTGGGGATGAATCCCAGAGGACCCTTAGCTACATCCCCACTTCTCGTTATGTTTTGTTTATATAGTTTTTTTTCCGGTCTTTTTCATTTTTATCTGTACCAGGGCTCGAACTCACGACTGCCTGCTTGCAAGGCAGGTGCTTATGCCGCTGAGCTAAATCCCCAGCCCCTATTTTTTTATTTTTTGAAACAGGGTCTCAGTATGTAGCCTAGGCTGACCTTAAACTCTTAGCGATCCTCATGCTTCAGCCTCCCAAGTGCGGTGATTAAAGGTGTCACTGGGCCTGGTTTGCTTTTTTTATTCTTGAGATGAAATCTCGCCGTAAAGCCCAGGACGGCTTCAGATTTGCTATGCAGCCCAATTGGCCTTGAACTTGTAACCCTCTTGAGCCACTGAAATGCTCAGATTGCTGCCACGTGCCACCGCATGCTATTTTTATTTTTATTTTTTGTCTTTTTCCTTTTTATCGACTGCCTGCTTGCAAGGCAGGCACTTATGCCACTGAGCTAAATCCCCAGCCCTGCTATTTTTATTTTTATTTATTAATTACATTTTAGACAGTTTCACCTTGTAGTTCAGTCTAGCCTCCAACTCACTTTGTAACCCAGCCTGGCCACGAACTTGCAGTGGTCCTCCTGCCTCAGCCTCCTGAGTCCTGTAATTATAGGTGTGCAGTGCCGCCCCCAGCTGTGTCCAGCTTTCTGATGGTGCAGATCTCCAGGCGGCTTTTGGGGAAGCCCACTGTAGCTAGAGAAGCTACCAGTCAGGATGGCACAATCCGTTTTGCTACAGACCTTCAGATGCCTCCCACAAGGCTTTGCTGGTTCAGAAGGTGTGCAAGGAGAACAAGCCAGGCGGAGAGAAGGGGCCTGCTGGGTAAGGTGGGCCTGGGGTCCCACAAGGGCACGCCTGCTCCGGACTTCCTGTGCTGTGGGGTGTGCTCACCGGGAGCCCGGCAGTAAATGTATTCGTCTGTTGGTACCGGATTAAACCCATGTCCTCTCGACTGCCAGTATGGTGTTTACACCACTGAGCTAAAACCCTGCCCCTTGTAAACAGTAAAGTAAGCAAGTGGTCAGAGGTGAAGCACACCTGTATTCGCAGCCACTGGGGTCCAACCCGGACAACTCAGCTAGAACCTGTTTCAAGATAAGAGAGCAGACAGGATGTGACACCGGGGATTAACTGGAGTCCCTTCCAAGGCTACCCGGTGACCTTAAGACCTTGCCCTAGACACTGTCTCTCTCAGTCTTTCATGCTGGGTGCTGAACGTGGGGCCTTTGCCCTGAGCTACATTCCCAACCCCCTTGTATGTATTGTTCTCCATTTTATTTGCCGGGGATCGAACTCACAACCTCTCATTTGCTATATCCATTTTATTTTGAGATAGGGTCTTGCTAAATTGCCCAAGCTGTACTCAAAATTGCAATCTCCTGGCGTCAGCCTCCTAAAGAGCTGAGGAGGCAGATGCGCACCTCCACACCAGACTAAGCCACCCAGGTTTCCCTCAACTCATCTGAGCTTCCAGCACTTGAACCCTTGGAGGGTGTTAGGGTTCTGTCTCCATGTCCCCCAAAGAGGTGGGTCCTGGTAGCAGGGCCCCTTGGGAGGTGAGTGGGTGACGGGGTTTACAGCTGCGTGGCTGGGAGGAGGTGGGTTCACTCAGAAGAAGCCGTCCCTCTCGTCTTCCCGGATTCTTTTTTGTTTTGTCTTTGGGATGGTCTCACTGTAGCCCAGGCTGGTCTTTTTTTTTTTTTTTTTTGTCTTTTTCCTTTTTATCGGTACCAGGGATCGAACTCACGACTGCCTGTTTGCAAGGCAGGCGCTTACGCCGCAGAGCTAAATCCCCAGGCCCAAGGGATGGAAGGGAAGGCAGGAGTAGGAGGACAAAGGACTGAGGTTTAGTGTGTATTTGTACCAACTCTCCACAATGAATGTGTCCACTGAGCACCAACACAAACTAATAAAATGTTATCCGTACCAGGAATTGAACTCACAACCTTGTGCTTGCCAGGCAGGTGCTTATGCTGCTGAGCTATATTCCCAGCCCACTAATAAAAATTTAAAGAGAAAAAAGGGCTGAGGGTGTGTGGCTGAATGGCAGAGCATTTGCCTGGGACTGGAGGTGAGAAGACCCCAGCTGGCTAGGCTGGCACGGTGCTTTGCATAAACACAGCAGGAGGCCATCTCTTGTTCTCCAAATACAGTGTTTAAAAATATCTACTACCAAGCAGCCCAAATGCCCATCAACTGCCAAGTGGATAAAGAAGCTGTGGTTTTTTTGTACAAGGGAGTACTACTGTGCCATAAAGAAGGATAAGCTTGAGACATTTCTAGTCAAATGGATGCCCCTTGAGGCCACACTCTTTTGTTGTTGTTACCGGGGATCAAATTCACAACCTTGTACTTGCAGGCAGGCACTTAGGCCACTGAGCTAGATCCCCCGTCCTCTTCTAAGTGAAGTTCATTGGACGCATGGTAAATACTGCATTATTTTTCTGGTGTGAGAAACTGAAAGTAAGTAAGGATCAAAATGTGTAACTGGTATTTTGGGCCAGGAAAACAATGTCCAGATGGGAGCGGGAACTAGTGAGGCGGGAGGGGGGACGAAATGAAGGGACAGGGACAAACTGATCAGTAGGAAAGGGAAGAGGCGTGGAAGGGAAGGGAGGGGAGGGGGGACAACTTCTGTTATGTACAGCTACACATTCCCTACGATGAATGAATGCAGTCATTACGTGTATCTAAAGTGTACCAATAAGCTTAGTAAATAAAAGTATCTATTACCAAGTCCAGACTGATGCTGCACACTTCTGATCCCCACACTCCGGAGGCGGAGCGGGAGGGTAGCCGAGGGTTCAAGGCCAGCCTGGGCTACACTGTGAGACCCTATCTCAGAAACAAAACAGGAAACCCCAGGAAGGCAGTCGCTAAGCAGCACATGGCTTGGATTCCTGCTGCGGTGTGCACTCAGGTGTGTCACCAGCCCTGAGCCTGCCTGGCTCACCTCGTCTTGCTCTGACACCGACATGCTAAGAGGCAGTCACTGATATCTAGGGTTTTCAGAGCCACCCAGTGGCCAGCCTTGGTATGGTCCAGTTGCAGAGGTGACCCCTGGAAGATACCAGTCATTGTCCTAAACACGCAGTGATTTTGTATTTTGGGACAGCAGAGCCTCACAGATCCCAAGTGGGAGCAGTTCCTTCAGATGGGCTGCCTCCCAAGGCAGACACTGTCACCTCATGGTGGGAACAGAACTCCAGCTGAGACAGCTGCCCCAGAACCTCAGCAGAAAAGTCCGGAGACCCTAAGTGCCTAGGCTGTGCCCTAAGCAGAACACCCACAATCCTTGCCTTTCCTACCAAACCCCAAAGCAAGTCAGCTGCTGGGCAGATCCTGAACACCTTTATCCATCCTTCCCATTGCAACCGAGCTGATCAAAGCTCCTTTCCTGCTTTCCAACACTGCTTATCTCCTAGATTGGTGTTTTGGAACTGGTGGCTCTCGCTGGCCTTTTAAGAGCAACCCCTCTCCTTCAAGCAGGGATTTTTGTCCTGTAACACAAGTGTTACGGCCTGTATCTAGATAGCCCCTCAAAGCCTCATGCAGTCATAGATGGGGCTTTTTGGAGGTGGCTGGATCTAGGGT